TTGTCTCTAGTGGACAGTGTGTGTTTGTCTCCCTCTAGTGGACAGTGTGTGTTTGTCTCCCTCTAGTGGACAGTGTGTGTTTGTCTGCCTCTAGTGGACAGTGTGTGTTTGTCTCCCTCTAGTGGACAGTGTGTGTTTGTCTCCTCTAGTGGACAGTCTGGGGGTGAGTCTGGAGTTGAAGACCAAACTCGAGGACGTGTTGATCCCAGAGACACGACTCAGTCTGGGCCCCGTCCTCGGCAAAGGTGTGTCCAACTTTATATATCTGTAGTACTGTAATACTGTGTATTACTGTGTAGTACTGTGTAGTACTGTGGTACTTTGAGCCTGTCCCTCTAACCTGGGTTCTGTTGTGGTTCTGGTTCAGGAGAGTTCGGGTCGGTGCGAGAGGCGCTGCTCAAAACTGAAGATGCTGTTCAGAAAGTCGCCGTCAAAGTTTTAAAAAGTGAGTGCTCCTGTCTGCACCTGTCAGCACCTGTCTGCACCTGTCTGCACCTGTCTGCACCTGTCTCTTCCTCCTGTTCTGACGTGTGCTTCTTGTAGATGACATCACGGCGTCATGTGACATGGAGCAGTGTCTGAAGGAGGCGGCGAATATGAAAGATTTTAACCACCCCAATGTGATCCAGCTCATCGGTACCAACGCACACAGGGACATGCACACAGAGGGACACGCACACACAGAGGGACACGTACACACAGAGGGACACGTACACACAGAGGGACACGTACACAGAGGGACACGCACACACAGAGGGACACGCACACACAGAGGGACACGTACACACAGAGGGACACGTACACACAGAGGGACACGTACACACAGAGGGACACGCACACAGAGGGACACGCACACACAGAGGGACATGCACACACACACAGACACGCACACACAGAGGGACATGCACACACACAGAGGGACACGCACACACAGAGGGACACGCACACAGAGGGACACGCACACAGGGACACGCACACACAGAGGGACATGCACACACAGGGACACACACACACACACAGAGGACACACACAGAGGGAGGGCGGGCTCAGGTGTGATTGACAGCTGTGTGCTCCTGTAGGGGTGAGTCTGCAGCGTCGGCCCGGGCGGCTGCTCCCGGTGCCGATGGTGATTCTGCCGTTTATGAAACACGGAGACCTGCACACCTTCCTCCTACTGTCCAGACTCGGAGAGAAACCTTATGTAAGACACACACACACACACACACACACAACACACAACACACACATACACACACATACAGAGACACACACAGAGACACACACACAACACACACAGAGACACACACACACACACACACACAACACACAACACACAGAGACACACACACACACACACACACACACACACACACACACACACACAGCACACACACACACACACACACACACACACACAGAGTCACACACACATACACACACACACACACACACAACACACACACACACATACACACACACAGAGACACACACACAACACACACAGAGACACACACACACACACACACACACAACACACAGAGACACACACACACAGAGACACACATATACACACACACACACACACACAGAGACACACACACACACACACACACACACACACACACACACACACACACACACACACACATACACACACACACACACACACACACAACACACACATACACACACACACAACACACATAGACACACACACACACTTTTGTTCACTGCACATGTTTCTGATCTGTCCAAGATTTTCAAACTTGTCTCAGGTCGACAAAAGGAGGAAGTGAGTTTGTGGACAAAAGTTGATGTGGTTCTGGTTCCGTCTCTGGTTCTGGTTCCGTCTCTGGTTCAGACACTTCCTTGTCTCTGTCTACAGGAGGAGCTACATCTAATGAAACTCCTCTGGAACTCACACTCACACTTGTTCACACTTTCAGTTTGTTAGTTGGGCCTGTTGACTCTGGGCTTTTATCAGCACGACCAGTCAGGTCATAATGGAGCTTTCACACCTCTGGTCCTGACCTGACTCCAGCTCTTCTTCTCTTGTTTGTTTTGATGAGACGATGAGACACGTGGAGACGATCTGACTCCCCCGTTTCTCTTACATAATCATTCTCTTTATGAACTAAAACATCTGCTTTAACTCTCCTCTCAAAACTGTTCTTTTCTAAGTCTCTGTGTGTGTGTGTGTGTGTGTGTGTGTGTGTGTGTGGGTGTGTGTGTGTGTGTGTGTGTGTACGCTCGTGTGTGTGTTTCAGACTCTGGAGCTTCAGACTCTGGTGGGCTTCATGTTGGACGTGGCTCGAGGAATGGAATATCTGAGTAACAAGAACATCATCCACAGAGACCTGGCCGCCCGGAACTGCATGTGAGACCAGACCGGGTTTAGGCCGGGTTTAGGCCGGGTTTAGGCCGGGTTTAGGCCGGGTTTAGGCCGGGTTTAGTCTTGCTTCTGGGTTCTTTCATGTTGACATCAGTTGTTGCTGTAAAC